CAATAGATTTTAATAGTAAAAAAAGATAAAAATTACCAAAGCTCCCAAGTAATTAATTTATGGTATTAAATGACCCATAAGAAGTTGATATGCCGTTAATCAAACAAATCAGTCATATTTTCTGTTTTGTATTCTATGTTATTTTTCGTTTATAATTCAAAATAGAATTTTTTACCATTTTAGATGGACGAATTCCGAGTGAAAAAGTAAAAATTAAAAATTAAAAATAAAAGAGAAAATATGAATACGATAGGAATTAATTTAAATTTAATTATATTTGATCTTTCTTTCTTTTTTTTCTCGTGACTGGCATATTTTAAATTCAATTTGGAAGTATTTTCTTATATATCTAACGATTTATTTTACTTTTGTCGACTCATTTATGTCTAATTGTTGCCAGTAGTAAATCAAAATCAAGTAAGTACAAAAATATATGACTGGAAATTTTTTTCACAGATGTTCCAAATATCCACAAATTGAATTACATCTTCAAAGGGTCAAATCTGAAACTGCACGCAACAAATCTATTCTAGTTGAAGAAATTAAAATCCGGTGTTACTTGCTTCTCCTTGCAAAAAATCATCTATATCGCCATGGCCAAGGGATTGAGTCCTATATCAAAGAGAGAGCCACGCTTACCGTGATTTCCCGTTTATATGTTTTCGCGTGTACTTTGGTCACATTGCCTCCTTCGTCTTCATTCTCTATCGTCCACAGGATGATAGAATTGAGATGTTTGACAAAATGGCCGACGAGATTAACGATATCCCCTCTCTTCATCCCTGAGCTTACATTCATATTTGTAATGATTTCAATATTTACTATGAGAAGTGGTAGTTCACTCACCGTGTACAAGAGACAACTCGAGGTTACGTTAAGGGGTAGTTTATATGGATAGGAGGAGGAAGATAACAGTTAACTCTAGACTTGAACAGGTTAAGATTGTAGTGATCGAGGAAACATCCTCATGTTCCATAGGGCGGTGGTTCGCAGAAAGAAGCTGTGGAACTTACTTTTCACCAATGAAATACGGTGGGGATATGAGTGGTTTCCTACAATATAATTGGCATGGCGGGTCCTAGCCGTGAAGGATAGACCTGGCGGGACCAAGGAATCTAGTTCGTCCGAGCACTTTCCATGGAGGTAGTGATAGAACAGTAAGAGGCTCACCACGTCCCTCCTGTGAGAGAGAGAGAGAGAGAGAAAGAGAGAGGGAGAGGTTGAAGGGTAGAAAATAATTCTTCTCCAAGAAGGACTAGGAAACGCTTTTGAACTCTATCAAGACTGAAAAATGAGGAATAGACAGTTCCTGCCGAAATATGGCAACAGTACTCCATTTTCGGCTTGATCTGACACTTATAATGGTAGAGGATAGTATGAGGAGCCAGGTACTTCCTGAAGCGGTACAGGAGCCGATCATTTTACCTGCATCTTTAGCGATGGAGTGTGTATAAGAGTTCTACTTGAGGTCAGATATCGTGACTGGCGGTTATTCGGGGTTTGATAGGCGGTGATGGAATGTAACCAGTTGGCTTTTGAGGCAGTGAATGTAATCAGTCAGTTTTTCCCCCACTGGAAAGTTAGTGTTACATCGGAAGAGAGGTCAGCTTCCAATAACTGATTATCAAGATTTTTAGAGGTGCACCTGTATACCGTCGTATCATCGACATAGATGTTGACAAATGATCGAAGTATATTCTTAGGAAGATCATTTATGGAAATCAGAAAGAGGGTTGGTCCGAGAAGTAACCCCTGGAGGTGGCCTGCGTTCACCGCCAGGGCCTCGGAGGACTGGACGTTAATAACTTATCTTCAGGGATCTACCTGTTAGGTAGGATTTTATAGTAGAGAAAACCCTTCCAGTGATTCCATAGTTGGAGAACTTGTGTAGCAAACATTTGTGCCACACCTTGTCGAAGAAGGCCTTCAAGATATCTAATGCTATGGTCCTCGCGGTGTGTGTGTGTGTCGTCAAGAGCCTCACTATGTGTAATGGGAGTTAGAACGTCAGCAGTGGATCGGGCTGATCGAAACCCATACTGCTCGTCGCACAAGAGGTTGTTCCTATCCAGGAACTATCTTGTTGATTAAGGCCTCAAAAAAGCTTACTGATGATACTGAGGAGGCTAATGGATCTATACTGGGAAGGGAAGGATCAATTGCCCGCGTTCTTGAAGACCGGTCATATGCTTGTCACCTTCCACATGCTTGGGAAATATTTCTCCTTCAAGCAGTGGTTAAATAATTTTGCTAAGATCGATCGGGGATAATTCTGGGTTGATATTCTTAGGGAAAACTACTGAAATTTTGTCTGGGCCTATGGCTTTTTGGGGGTCGAGGCTTTTGATAAGTCTAGAGACTTCTCTTGCTGAAATGTGTATATTACAGATATTGTGCTCAGTGTGACGTGAGAAGTTGGGGAGGCGATGGCCTTTGTCATTTAACGTTGTTTGAGGCAAAGATCGAGGCGAAGAGCTTCGCTTTGTCTATTGAGGATGATATGACCTCGGGGCAATTTATAATAGTGGACACAGCCGCTTTGCCTTTGTTCATAATTTGTTTGGTAATCTTTCAGAATTCACGAAATTCAATTTGTCTATTTTCAACTTTGACCTGGACAGATCGTGCGTAATTGCACTTTGCATTTTCCAGGAATCTCTTACAGCGATTGCGGAAGGGTTCTGAAGAAAGTAAGGGTCAGATTACACTGCTCCTTGAAGTAGATGCTGAAGTAGTATTCTCGGTGAGCTATGTCTTCAATACTTCCATAATATCACGTACGAGCTGATTCAGATCGTGTATAAGCCTACTCTTCTTCCCGATATAGCTGGGCATCATACTAATCTTTTAGACCTCTTCCTCAATTCCTCTCCTGGCCAATACTATGTTGAAGCGTTACCTTTCTTGATCGTTTCAGTTCATTCACTAATCTATGTCAAAAATGCAGCCAAACCAAAAGTATTCTTCGATGTCATAGGACAAGGTAACGATACGTCAAAGCTGGCAGAGATAACTTCCGATCTTACATTGCGGATGCTGCTCTCTCGACATTCTTCAAAAATAAAGCTTCCACAACAGCCTTACTCATTTTTTTTAATCAATTGACTTCAATCAAGGCAACAATGCCTAGTAGGTGTGACAAAGAATGAGAAGACTTTAGAAAGAACCGGAAACCTAATCTTAAACAGAAAACAAGTGATAGACGTCTGCTCCTCTTCAAAAGACCGTGGAGGAGTGTGAACCAGACGATAGGTGGCCCTATCTATACCTATAACTAATGGATTCTTTTTGGCATGAAAAGATAAAAAAACAAAACGTATCAACAAAACCGAATAAACAGACTTGGTTGATTTCTGAACAGTACCATTGTCAAAGCTCACCGTATAAACGCTACAGCTTTCTGTGTCAGAGGGGAAAATGTAACAGACCTCTACCGCATTTAGAACTGCTCGCAATCAGTAAAAAATGTGCCCTATAAAATGCAAAGAGCAACTATGCTGAAGCAGTCCAAGCCAGTTGAAAGCAAAAGAAAATGGTTTCCACATTTTCTGGAAAATCACGAAGAGTCTCAATAGTCAATACTTTCTTTTATAAATGACCTTGAGGTTATCTCCTCCTCATCGGATAAGGGCTTAGCTGTTTGCAATGAACTTTGCTTCTCACTCCACGATAGATGACAAAAACCATCCTCTACCCAACTTCTTCATTCTCACGGAGCACAAACTTTGTTATATTTATATCTCGTCTCGGGATTGTTTCCAGATTCATCAAAAGCCTTACTCTATGAAAGGCTACTGGTTCGGATGAAATGTTTGTTCTTAAGAACCTTAGCCCAGAGCAATCTCCAATCTTGACAAAATTGTTTAACCGCTGCCTGAAAGAGAAATGTTTCTCAGGTCTATGAAAGGTGTCTGCTATATGCCCTGTTTTCAAAAAACAACTTCCTGAATGACAGACAGTATGGATTTCGTCGCTCTTGAACCACTGCTGATCTATCAACTGTTATTACACAAGGAATCAGTAAAGCATCACGTAAATCCACCACGTGAGCGATCGCTTAGAATATTTCATGGGCCTTTGACAAGGTATAACAAAGGAAATAAAAAAAGAAACACTCCAAATGCGGCATATCTGAAAGAGTCAACTCAATTATCAAATCCTTCTTATAGGTCCATGAAGGTCGCCGTTAATAGCCAGTCTTTTGAAGCCCATGAGATCAATGCAAGCATTCCCAAGGCTCTTCCCTCAGCTCTATCCTCTTTTTGCTTCATATTAATGATCGCCTATCAACATATTCAGATCATTAGTTAATATATATGCAGACGATACCATAGTTTATGGAGGAACCGCCAAGATTCTAGATGACCAGAGCTTGGCAGTTGATCTTTCCTCTGACTTTGCTCTAACAATCCAATTGGGGAAAACATTCTCTAGCCACAAAACCAACACTTGTAACGTTTCATCATCACAGAGCAGGCTCTTGTAAAATTGCGTATGTTTCTGACTTCTAAAGTTGAATAATTTTCAATAAATGTTTCAATAGAAAAGTCATTTGATATATTCACTTAATACAAGGTCCAAGGACCACTCAAGGTAGAGGGTTACTATGTGGAGTTATATTAGCGCAAGTAAGGGCGAGATAACAGGAAAGATAGCTAACTCTAGACTTGAAGAGGTCAAGATTTATTTAACGAATAAAATTTCAGAGTTCAGGCGGAGACGTTTGGCGTATAGAGTTGAAGTAGATTTTAGGAAGGGATCGGAAAATCAATCCTAAACAGCAAATAAGGGATAAGCCTCTACTCCTGTTCTAAAATATCTTCCTGGGCACTATTGCCTATATTTATTAATTGTTGTCATAATAATATAAATATTACAATGCATTTTATCAAATAAATAATACAATGATATACTCATTAAAGAATAAGAAGCGATAAAATATACTAAGATATTTTCATTTTACAATGTTTTTAAAATCAAAATTATTTATCACTACTTACCTGTAAATATTTCATCAACGTTATCTCTGTCGCCCAGAAGAAGATCCAGTTCAGCATGTAAAGTGAAAAACACAAACTGACCATCGGTCATTCCAATCGTGTGGGCAGTATACAAAATATCTCCGGCAACTTCGGCGTATACAAAGAGAATGAACACTTAAAAAAAATGGAGATAAAATTTTGATATTCAATCATAATTTAAACAACGTCTTCATTATTCATAACGAATAAATACATTTAGCGTTTTGTGGTCTTTAAAGCAAAGTCATTAACTATTAATTTTAGAATAATAAGAGAAACGTAATTTACAAAAGAAAAACACACGCACACACACACACTTACAAAAACACTTTTTGGAATTCCTAGAATACACGCCAGTGTGTTTTCCATATATTTTAGCACTACTTATGGATCACAACATATTTACGAATATTATCCACATATATTCAGTTCTATTTATAATTCGCAAAAAGTTTTCCACTTGCCTTCAGTTCCATGTACGATTCCCAACACAGGTTTGTCTATAGTTCAAACGTTCTTTTGAACAGAAGTAGAGTTTCATCCGTTGTTACCTTTTTAGGATTGGCTTTCCGGTCCCATTACACTTATCGACGAATTCCAATTCAAATGCGTTCTGTTCGATATACATTGTGTCCAAATATTTTCCACACGCCTTTAGATCTGACTACAGACACTCATAAATCTACTTCTGTGGATCCTTGCATATATTTTCCATATGCCTTCAGTTCTGTCTTCAGATGCCCGAATATTTTCCAAATATTTTCCACACGCCTTTAGATCTGACTACAGACACTCATAAATCTACTTCTGTGGATCCTTGCATATATTTTCTATATGCCTTCAGTTCTGTCTTCAGATGCCCGAATATTTTCCAAATATTTTCCACACGCCTTTAGATCTGACTACAGACACTCATAAATCTACTTCTGTGGATCCTTGCATATATATTTTCCATATGCCTTCAGTTCTGTCTTCAGATGCCCGAATATTTTCCAAATATTTTCCACACGCCTTTAGATCTGACTACAGACACTCATAAATCTACTTCTGTGGATCCTTGCATATATTTTCTATATGCCTTCAGTTCTGTCTTCAGATGCCCGAATATTTTCCAAATATTTTCCACACGCCTTTAGATCTGACTACAGACACTCATAAATCTACTTCTGTGGATCCTTGCATATATTTTCTATATGCCTTCAGTTCTGTCTTCAGATGCCCGAATATTTTCCAAATATTTTCCACACGCCTTTAGATCTGACTACAGACACTCATAAATCTACTTCTGTGGATCCTTGCATATATTTTCCATATGCCTTCAGTTCTGTCTTCAGATGCCCGAATATTTTCCAAATATTTTCCACACGCCTTTAGATCTGACTACAGACACTCATAAATCTACTTCTGTGGATCCTTGCATATATTTTCTATATGCCTTCAGTTCTGTCTTCAGATGCGAATATTTTCCAAATATTTTCCACACGCCTTTAGATCTGACTACAGACACTCATAAATCTACTTCTGTGGATCCTTGCATATATTTTCCATATGCCTTCAGTTCTGTCTTCAGATGCCCGAATATTTTCCAAATATTTTCCACACGCCTTTAGATCTGACTACAGACAGACACTCTGTGGATAAATCTACTTCTGATGGATCCTTGACATATATTTTCATATATGCCTTCAGTTCTGTCTTCAGATGCCCGAATATTTTCCAAATATTTTCCACACGCCTTTAGATCTGACTACAGACACTCATAAATCTACTTCTGTGGATCCTTGCATATATTTTCTATATGCCTTCAGTTCTGTCTTCAGATGCCCGAATATTTTCCAAATATTTTCCACACGCCTTTAGATCTGACTACAGACACTCATAAATCTACTTCTGTGGATCCTTGCATATATTTTCTATATGCCTTCAGTTCTGTCTTCAGATGCCCGAATATTTTCCAAATATTTTCCACACGCCTTTAGATCTGACTACAGACACTCATAAATCTACTTCTGTGGATCCCTTGCATATATTTTCTATATGCCTTCAGTTCTGTCTTCAGATGCATGAATATTTTCCAAATATTTTCCACACGCCTTTAGATCTGACTACAGACACTCATAAATCTACTTCTGTGGATCCTTGCATATATTTTCTATATGCCTTCAGTTCTGTCTTCAGATGCCCGAATATTTTCCAAATATTTTCCTTTAGATCACGCCTTTACTTCTGTGGATCTGACTACAGACACTCATAAATCCAAATATTTTACGCCTTCTGTGGATCCTTGCATATATTTTCTATATGCCTTCAGTTCTGTCTTCAGATGCCCGAATATTTTCCAAATATTTTCCACACGCCTTTAGATCTGACTACAGACACTCATAAATCTACTTCTGTGGATCCTTGCATATATTTTCTATATGCCTTCAGTTCTGTCTTCAGATGCCCGAATATTTTCCAAATATTTTCCACACGCCTTTAGATCTGACTACAGACACTCATATAAATCTAGTTCTTCTTCAGATGGATTTTCTTTAGATCTTGACACTCATAAATCTACTTCTGTGGATATATTTTCTATATGCCTTCAGTTCTGTCTTCAGATGCCCGAATATTTTCCAAATATTTTCCACACGCCTTTAGATCTGACTACAGACACTCATAAATCTACTTCTGTGGATCCTTGCATATATTTTCTATATGCCTTCAGTTCTGTCTTCAGATGCCCGAATATTTTCCAAATATTTTCCACACGCCTTTAGATCTGACTACAGACACTCATAAATCTACTTCTGTGGATCCTTGCATATATTTTCTATATGCCTTCAGTTCTGTCTTCAGATATATTTCCAAATATTTTCAGATGCATAAATCTATTCTGTGGATCCCGAATATTTTCCAAATATTTTCCACACGCCTTTAGATCTGACTACAGACACTCATAAATCTACTTCTGTGGATCCTTGCATATATTTTCTATATGCCTTCAGTTCTGTCTTCAGATGCCCGAATATTTTCCAAATATTTTCCACACGCCTTTAGATCTGACTACAGACACTCATAAATCTACGAATATTTTCAAATATTTTGGATCCTTGCATATATTTTCCATATGCCTTCAGTTCTGTCTTCAGATGCCCGAATATTTTCCAAATATTTTCCACACGCCTTTAGATCTGACTACAGACACTCATAAATCTACTTCTGTGGATCCTTGCATATATTTTCTATATGCCTTCAGTTCTGTCTTCAGATGCCCGAATATTTTCCAAATATTTTCCACACGCCTTTAGATCTGACTACAGACACTCATAAATCTACTTCTGTGGATCCTTGCATATATTTTCTATATGCCTTCAGTTCTGTCTTCAGATGCCCGAATATTTTCCAAATATTTTCCACACGCCTTTAGATTTAGATCTGACTACAGACACTCATAAATCTACTTCTGTGGATCCTTTTGCATATATTTTCTATATGCCTTCAGTTCTGTCTTCAGATGCCCGAATATTTTCCAAATATTTTCCACACGCCTTTAGATCTGATCTACAGACACTCATAAATCTACTTCTGTGGATCCTTGCATATATTTTCTATATGCCTTCAGTTCTGTCTTCAGATGCCCGAATATTTTCCAAATATTTTCCACACGCCTTTTAGATCTGACTACAGACACTCATAAATCTACTTCTGTGGATCCTTGCATATATTTTCTATATGCCTTCAGTTCTGTCTTCAGATGCCCGAATATTTTCCAAATATTTTCCACACGCCTTTAGATCTGACTACAGACACTCATAAATCTACTTCTGTGGATCCTTGCATATATTTTCTATATGCCTTCAGTTCTGTCTTCAGATGCCCGAATATTTTCCAAATATTTTCCACACGCCTTTAGATCTGACTACAGACACTCATAAATCTACTTCTGTGGATCCTTGCATATATTTTCTATATGCCTTCAGTTCTGTCTTCAGATGCCCGAATATTTTCCAAATATTTTCCACACGCCTTTAGATCTGACTACAGACACTCATAAATCTACTTCTGTGGATCCTTGCATATATTTTCTATATGCCTTCAGTTCTGTCTTCAGATGCCCGAATATTTTCCAAATATTTTCCACACGCCTTTAGATCTGACTACAGACACTCATAAATCTACTTCTGTGGATCCTTGCATATATTTTCTATATGCCTTCAGTTCTGTCTTCAGATGCCCGAATATTTTCCAAATATTTTCCACACGCCTTTAGATCTGACTACAGACACTCATAAATCTACTTCTGTGGATCCTTGCATATATTTTCTATATGCCTTCAGTTCTGTCTTCAGATGCCCGAATATTTTCCAAATATTTTCCACACGCCTTTAGATCTGACTACAGACACTCATAAATCTACTTCTGTGGATCCTTGCATATATATGCCTTCAGTTCTGTCTTCAGATCAAATATTTTCCACACGCCTTTAGATCTGACTTCAGTTCTGTCATATATTTTCTATATGCCTTCAGTTCTGTCTTCAGATGCCCGAATATTTTCCAAATATTTTCCACACGCCTTTAGATCTGACTACAGACACTCATAAATCTACTTCTGTGGATCCTTGCATATATATTTTCTATATGCCTTCAGTTCTGTCTTCAGATGCCCGAATATTTTCCAAATATTTTCCACACGCCTTTAGATCTGACTACAGACACTCATAAATCTACTTCTGTGGATCCTTGCATATATTTTCTATATGCCTTCAGTTCTGTCTTCAGATGCGAATATTTTCCAAATATTTTCCTGTACACGCCTTTAGATCTGACTACAAATATTTTCCACTTGCATATACGCCTTTCAGTTCTGTCTTCAGACGAATATTTTCCAAATAAATCATAAATCTACTTCTGTGGATCCTTGCATATATTTTCTATATGCCTTCAGTTCTGTCTTCAGATGCCCGAATATTTTCCAAATATTTTCCACACGCCTTTAGATCTGACTACAGACACTCATAAATCTACTTCTGTGGATCCTTGCATATATTTTCCATATGCCTTCAGTTCTGTCTTCAGATGCCCGAATATTTTCCAAATATTTTCCCACACGCCTTTAGATCTGACTACAGACACTCATAAATCTACTTC